TGTGGCTTCTAAGGACGCACAAGTCCTGATGCTAATCTTAGCCTCTAAATATCAGTGCCAACCCCAAAGCCCCTGGAGCACGCCCTAGCTAACCTTGCTCACGGCACTGCCTGCATGAGCCTCGTGGCCAAGATCCTCACAAACCGGTGGGAAACTGCAAAAAAAAGCAGGCAACCGATCCATGCTGGCCCAAATTAATCTCATGATGCTGGCCCTCGGAACGCTGGGGCATGACGAGCCCCTAATGACAAAATGAGGGTGCTGACCGCCTCGGTAGGCCTTTCCGTCAAAAGCGTACCCTGAAGCCCTCATCATGCAACAAGCAGCTACTGACTAACTAAGGGGGAGGGTCTGTCTCGCTCCTGCCCCAAAAGCACTCACTGTGGCGGGCGGGAAACCGCCAAAGCGTGACTGTAGGAAAGCCAAGAACCACCTGATCATGACCACCTTGGCAACAGGACCTTTGTTTCGACCGCCTATTCGCCGCATTTCTGTACACGTCAGAGCAACAAGATGCACAGAATCTATAGACGCCCGAAGAGGCCAGAATTCGCGTAAACATGTGAGATGTTGAAAGGCCCATGTGTACATGATTCTGGTAAACATGCATGAAGGCAATCTGAATGCAATCCGACCTTAAACCCTTCTGGTTTATCCTTGAAGGGTGGTTTTCGGCAGGGCTGCGGGTAGGGCCTGAGGGGAAACCTGCGTTGGCTCCCCTCTGTGGGGTTACGTGGGGCGACGCCAAGGCCATCCCAGTTTCTAGAGAGGCTGTCTCGTCGATATGCCCCACGGCCACCCGCAAAATAATGTGCCCGCAAGGGTGGGGGGGAGTGGGTAAACGCCAACGGCCTGATCCTCGTCAGATTTCGGAAGTCCTACATCATGAAGCTGATTCTTAGCGAGCATAGCAACCAATGTACTTGCCCCAGGTCAGGATCTGTGTACATGGAGGCCCGGGTGAACCTGCGAGAGTCTTGTTTAGAGGTCTGCAGTTCAACAATTTATGATGAGAAACAGGCAGTGGTCAAGCTCACATTTGCCTTGGTTTGACGTTCAGTATTTGCTGACCTGCGAAGATAGCGCACAGTGCATGCTGTTGGAGCATGCCGCAGGAAGGGTCCTATGTTGCACATTCTGGCCTGTCTCCTCCCCATCCTGTGAGGTGGGGCACCTTTACTACTTGGAGGAGGGGACCCTGCGTTTGGTAGTCTAGTTCAACAGCAAGACTGGTGCCCGCAGCAACTTTCGTGGCATAGGGGGCAAACTTGGAGTCAGCAACTGTTCCACCGCTTCTGTCTTGTGCGCAGTCATTGGTCATGTACTAAGAGCATTGGAAGCTGGCTGCTTACTACATAATGTGTGCGTGCCAGGTCCTGCACAAGGAGCGCGTGCAGTCAGACCACTTGATAGCTGGAGTGCCATGTTTGCATTATCAATCTGGACAAGCATTGAGCACGCGCGGTGCTAGAGCTTAGGGCAGAGAAAACGTCGAGGAATCTCCACCTCTATCATACTGACCTCAGCCGCAAATGCCGCAAGAAAGTAGCCCATGGCTCGAGGTGACACTTCCAAGCGGAGTAGTCCACAGACCGATACCGGCCTTGCTTGCCAGAGTTTTTCTGAGCTGGCAAACCTGACATTCAGAGCGCTCTCATTAGCTGTGACATGTCGCTTGCATACATCTTACAGGTTGACGCAGAACGGCAGGCAAGCTTCTTCGATGCTGTGGAGTGTACGCAGGGCTTTCCCGTGGGTCTCGCCGTGGCCGGAAACTGAGTCCATGGCGTTTAGATTTGAGGTTTGTGCAGCTTTTCTTTTGGACAGCGCGCCTGACTTGGGCTCTCAAGGTCCATGACTGCGCCGGACGGAAGACAGGTGACGGACTTGTCTTCTGTGTGGCCCATGTCTCATGCAAGGTTGCAGATGGCACATGTGTGGTATCCATGTGATGCGTCCTTTCCAGATGCTATCAAAACAAGTGTTTCAGGACAGAGTTGTACGGCCCAGTGCCGTGGTGGCTGGAGCGGTGCACGCTGGGAACCAAGTCAATAGTTGCTGGCAGCTAGTTCCTTTGCCCGCGGATGGCTTTACACTTTTTGTAATGGCTCTCGGAAAAAACAGTGAAAAAACCCACACGCTGAACAGACTGGTCCTCGTGGAGTGCGAAACTATGTCCCCTTGCTGCCTAGAACAAACCTTCATCTGCGACGGCGTCGGTGTTTTGCACGGTCGTGATCCGATCTGCACAGCAGCCGAGCTCTCAGAGCCACTTGTTGTTTGGGGAGAGTGGTTGTATATGCGTGCAATACTTGAGCACGTGGAAACCCTTTGCAGCAAGACATTCAGCAGAGATTAGAAAGATGGAAATCGCTTTTGGTCTTGCTTGCGAAGGTGCAGTGTGAGGAGTACAATGTCGAAGTGGGAAGCCTGTACATGCATGGCATCTGGGATGAGGACTGAAACTGGACAGTTGATTCGTACAGCTCGAGGAATGTCGTAGTAGCGAGCAGAAGAGCTTATACATGTCAGCCTGCCACTGTACATACAAAAGGGCCGGATCAGCATCATGGTCCGCATTGTTTCACGCCTGGCACGTTTGCCTCGATGCAGGTAGATTGCTGGACGCTCAGCAAAGCGCAGGATTTGATGTTGATTTGGTACTGGGTGTGGCTTGCCTTTGGACCCTGCTGCTGGAACAGAGGCTTGGCTTAAAGACCTTTAAGCATGGTCCATTTATTGTGAGCAGTTGGGTTGAACTGTGGAATTCCAGATGTTTCCAACGCAAGCCAGAAGGCCTGAAGGGTGTCAGTGCAGGAGGACAGCCCAAACCGCAATGTGGCAATGGTTGTGCAAGGTTCCAACATGGAGGGAATCAAGTGCGATGACCAGTTGAGAAGCTGGTCAGGCCGGACACGCGCATTGAATCAAATGCAGATCTACTTGCGCAGCCCATCATGATGCTGATCACATTCTGCTTGGACCTGTTCCTTTCTCTGCTGTTGGGACAGGAAGTAGGGGGCCCGCCCCGCCACCGAAAAATGAAGCTTAGATAGTCATTGCTTAAACTGTGGCATGCATCATCGAAGAAGAGGTAGCTAGGCAAGCCATCCGCGATACCGATGCCTTCTTGACAGCAATGAGCGGGCTCTCATTGCGGTGGCGCTGATGGCTGCAGCACGCCGCCGCGCGGCAGCAGCCCCCCTGCATCGCAGCAGCTACGCGCTGCCCTCGAGGCGACGCGGCTTGCAGCATGAGAGCATGTCATAGGAGGCGTTGGGAGTGCACATTGCTCACCTCTCTCTCTTAGCTACCTTTGTAGGGGCCAGGCGCAGCAGCTGCCAAGCAAAAAATGGTCATGACAATGCAAGACATTACCTCAGCGCAGGCTAGGCGTATTGGAGTAGATCTCCTGTCGCTTGATGGGGACGGGAGGGGAAGCCACGGGCCTCTTGCATTCATGGCAAGCGCCCCACGCCAGTAAAGATCCATTAAGGCCTTGCCGATCTGGCAGTCCTTGCGACCCAAGTCTATGAGAAAGATTGTCGAGCCTTCGTGAGGTTTGCCGCCCAGTGGGTCCAGGAAGTGCCAGATGCCTCGCATGCGCCTGCACTTCAGACTGAGCCAGCCTTACCTTCGCATGTCTGCATCACTGCGGCGAGTCTGCAGCCAGATATAGCAAGATAAGCAACGGATTCATGTTTCGGTTCCGGTTCTACGCGTCTACTCCTGATCTGTGCTTCTTTGCAGGCCACCGAGGAAGAGCCCGCGCCACCTCCACCTACATCACCGGTCGTGACTGCACAGGACAACCTTGAAATTTCCAGCAGTGTCGAAGCGCCACCAGAAGCTTGTGGCTCAGAATTCTCGCAGTCTGAGCCGCACGTGTTTTAGTTTTTGCAAGACAGGTTTGGACGCTCGCAGGGGAAAAGAAGGAAGAAAGGAAGGGTTGGGCGGAAGTGGCGGAAGAAGAAGAACAGGGCCAGCAAGAAAGGAGTCAAGGAATGAACGGGCTGCACCACTGTGTGCACCTCCCATTTCACGTCAACTCCTACATTTCTGCTGTTCCTTGTTGTCTTAATCCAGTTTCTTGACGAGCGCCATGCACAGGCAGACCCAGCAGAGAGCCGTTTGATAAGTGCTATGTTCATCATCAGAGCGTTCCTGAAGAATCATCTCCACGTGAAGAGAAATTAGAAAAGCTCCATCACTGAATTCTCAGGAGGGGGTTCAAGTTTTCCGGCCGTCACGGGGTGCAGCAAGACCAGCTGTTTGGAGTCTGCAGCAACAGCACTTCAAGCACTCAAGCGGGACGGGGAAGATGCCTTGCCGTTTCGGTCAAAAGATCGAGGGATGCAGGGTTGAGTGTGCATGTGTAGAGTGTCTGCAGTAACACGTGGTGTCAGCTTAACATATCTTCGTGGGGCAGCAGGACCAGCTGCGTGGAATCCATGGCAACGGGTGGGACATGAAGTTTTCATTGCCTTGTGATGTTAAACAAAAACAACGGAGGGAAGGAAGGTTGCGCTTGCGCACTGGTTGGTGCCATCCTGCCGGGATGTAGCGCGTGCAATACATAAAGCATTCAAGTCAAGCGCAGTGCACGAATTATGGATGACTCGGAGTGACTGCTATGTGCCTCCTGCATTGCTCCATAATATGAAGGGAGTTAACAAGAATGGTGCAGGGTTGCACCCACGCAATGCCTCTGCTCGTGAAGCATGGGCATGGCTGATTGCTTTGCCAATATTTCGTTGCCACTGTCGCTGCGGAAATGCTCGCAGCTGTGGTATGCGGACCTTCGGGATGGTCTAAGGGGAACCTCGTGGGAACCTGCGAACCTTAGACGAGCGTCCACCAACTTCACCCTTCCCTGCTAATTGCTCTGTCATTGAACGCTTTCCAGAACCGGGCATAGCTATTTTGATCTATTTTGTGCAAAGGTGGCGGAAAGCACCGCAAGCTTGCCGGTGCCAGGCTCGCATGTGAAGGCCCTGGCAATGCCCATATATGCTCCGGCGCCACCCCTGGATGGGACTCATGCAGCCAATGCATACGCGCTGATCAATGGCGAAACTCCCTGGAGCGCTGTCGCTGTGTGTGGCTTGACTGAATTCCTGCAACTCTTTCCAAATCAGGCTGCCATTATCTGCCATTCAGCTTGCTGGCGCTGCCCTCTGCAACAGCACGGCAGCACGATCACGCACGATTTGTTGCACAGCACTTCTGGTATGGATTTAAGGTGCCCGTCAGTGGCGACTTGAGTAAGATAGCTTCCCACCTACCATCGAGACCGGTCTCGGACTTCCTCGGGGACTTCTCGTTTGGCGCTGCCAAGCAGTCCATCTAAAAGAAATGCTTGCCCCTGTCGTCCAATGTAATGACAGAAACTGCGGCCCAGAAAGTTGCAGAGGATGCTGCACAAGTAAATCCGCAGATTAGAATAGGGATTTCACATCCCGGACTGAAAGTCTTCTGAAAAGGCGCAACACTCTTACCTGCTAAGCTGCCAAGGACAGATTGCGTCCACCCCAGCTACCGGTACCTCTTTCGTTGCTATCAGGAAGGCCACCATAACAACTCCTCAAGGACTTGTCCTTGTAGTGATCTTGCATGACCTAAGGGTCCTTGTTCGGTTTAAGGTCGGCAGCAAGCAGAGAGGCTGGCAAAGCTGGAAGCCGAAATTCTGGAGGAGTGCCGACAGAAGCAGGAACGCCTGTGGCACGGCGAGCTTGAGGAGGTGTTGGACCAAAAGGCCCAAGAATGGAGGCAACGACACGCAGAGCTCGAGTCCCAGATCTTTTACCAGGACCTATGATACTCGCAATTCAGGATGTCGCCTTGGTGTTTGTGGCAGGCAGCTAAACCAAGCCATAGCCAAGCACTCTAAATGGGAATGGAGCCAGCCGGGGCTGTCCTCCCAAATGATGGATCACATCAGTTGTCACCCAGACAGAGAATACTGTAGAACAGCCCACGACGATAGCCAGAAAGATTGCATGCGCATCTATCCCCATTGCCTCTTCACATGAAGGAGCAGCGCTATGCAAGCGCGCAAGTTTCATGGAGACAGTCAGAAGTTGCTTGCCAGCGGGATGCCCAGATGCGGTGCGCCAGCGCGCAAGTCGCTTGGCAGCGGTCAGAGGCCAGGCTCTAAGCAGAATGCAGATTTGTGAGCTGGCTTGTGACGTTCGCTTAATTTCGTTCTTGCCGAACTTCATGCTTTCGATCGAGAGCATGTTCAACTTCATGTCGACTGATCTTCGCTGTCATGCAGTGGGTTGCTGTTTGAACTTAGAAACGAATTGCCTTTGGACATTGAAGCATGTCACTGAGCAATCAAGGATCGCTGCCTGGCAGTCTCAGAGGAACTAGCAGAGCTTCGCTCGTCCGCCGCCACGGAGCGCTTTGAATTCCAGCAGGATGTGGGACAGCTTCACACAGAGGTTTTGACTGCAGCCAAAGAGGCTGATACCATGAAGTTGGAGGAGAGGACCATTATCACTTGCACCTGAGCTTTTGACAAGCGAACTGCACAACTCGTCGATAGCAGGGCTGATTTCCTGATTTTTGGTTCCATGATGGTGGCCGGTACTTGGGCAGCGTCTAGATCAGGTTTCTGTATACCCAATTCTTGAGATTCCGAGGCATGCAACAAGAGCTATCTGCCGAAGCAGCAAGTGCAGCACACCTCGCACAACAGGCAGCCAGCCAAAGGGATGTCGCAATCTCTGAGTGCGAAGCAGTGGAGGTGACGCTAAGAAACCAGCGGTTTAAGCATCGAAGTGACCTGGATGAACTTCTGCTTCAACGCACAAGCTTGGAAGAGCGCTGCCAACATGCAGAGCATTTGCAGCGCTTGGCCGTTCAGAGAGCTAGTCAGGAAGAGGAGCTCGCAGCAAATGCGAGCGAACAGCGAGAGGTAGCCCAAGTGGAACTTGCCGCAGAGTCTGAAGGTAGGGACGAGCTTTCAGCCTTGGAAGCTGGACCGCAATCAGGCGTTCGTTGCAGCAGGGTGAATGCAATAGTATACCCGCATGCTGTTGTTGGGCGGTAGAAGGTCATCGGGCTCAAGTCAGAGTTTGAAGCCGCTGTGAAGGAGGCGCATTGAAACTTTTCCGCACATCGGCCGGAAACCTGCATAGCCAGAGGACAGCATAGGGACAGCTTGCCCCATGAGTCGCTGGCCATGATTTTTGCTGCAGATGGAAGTCGAGCGGGAGACGCGCAGGGAATTTCAACGAGCCAGCCAGGACTTGCGCCGGTTTAGGTCGACAGCGTGTGCGTCCGTACCCGACACAACTGCTCATTCTTGCTTGAACTGTGCTGCGTTCGAATGGCTGCTCTACTGTTTTTGCAATGCTCCTTGTTCTTTCCGATCCGCGTTCTGTAGCAGTTTCTAGGAGAACCGCAGTAGCCTTGCGTTGAATGGAGTCCTCACTGCTCGCAGGAAGCACAGAAGCTACAGTCGACCTTCTTGGCCGAGGCTGTGAAGTTGCAAATGTTTTGAGTGATGTGCCAGTCGGCTCCGTGCTCCCATTCGAACAGCTCGAAGCAGCAAGCGCCAGACCCACCAGTACAGTGGTCAAGATATGCCAAGATATGCAAGCAGGCCCTGGCAGCAAGGGAGGTTGCCGAAGCCGCTGCAGTTGAGATTGCTGAGGCACAGAGATGCAGCATGGTATTGCATACGGGCGTAGCAAACTCACGCTGCTAACGTCAACAGCCAACGGCGGTTTGCAGCCCATTCTCCTCTTTCACATCAGGAGAGACGCGAACGAGCCCGCGACCTCCACGAGTTTCGGCAGGTCTTGTACCACGGCCCATCAGATGACGCATTTTCTTTGTTTGTAATGTGGCAGCTTCGAGGTTGTTCGGCGGGTAGGAAGTGTCCCTTTGCTGTACGCCGATTGTTGCCTGACATGCAAAGCGGTTGATGCCAGCCATCAGGCAGCGCCACCAGGACACCGCATGCTTGCCTCGTAAATGTTGTAACTGAAGCATCACCCGAAGAGTTATTCCTTTCTGACTTTGCTTGGGCTTCGTGAACTTGCTGAAGCGTGTATCTCCAAAGCTGGCATTCTTGCCAGCGAGCATGTCGGAAGAAAAATGTTAATCTTTGGGTGGAAGCTTCCTGCAGCACGTGAACGGTCAGTCACACATCAAAGTCACGCGCGTCTTGCCAGGTAGGATGTAAAGATTAACATGTAGCTTTGAAGCGTATCAACCGCACAGCAAAGGAGCAGTTGCATAGCATATGCAGAACATATACACAAGATGTTCAAATGGCTGACTCTTGCGCTGAGTCAGCAGATGTGGGCAGGAGCAGTTGAGTGCCGAGCGACAGCGCCAGATCTTCTCAGAGCTGCAACACGGCATGCACTGACACTGCGACACTGAGATTTGAGATCAAAGGGAGATCTTGGGAGCCGTGTTGAAGAGGTTGTCATATCTTGTGTGCAGTGCATCGCGGCATAGGAGTCGAGCGTGGCAAGCACATATCTTATCATAGCCCGGCTTAGCGGGTCACAGACAACAACCTCAGGTCTGGGATCATTGGTGCCAGTGCTGACTGAGAGCAACCCGCAGTTCTACACATGATGATCCGCAGCAGTTTCAGAGCATCCCGGCCTTGGGCAGACAAGTTGGGAACTCGCAAGCTTTGGTGCGGCAGCACCAGGACAACGTGGTCGCCGCTAGCTCATGAAGACCTACCGTAAGAGCTGAGCTGCACATTGACATGCATCCCGTGCTGGCCGGCAAAAAGTGAAGTGCTGGGCTGGATGCTTATGAGTCAAAACAAAACCTCTTTCAAGCCGACAACCAGGGCCGGAGAACTGCGCAAGCCGGGTGGTGACCGCTGGGAACACTTGCACTTTGGCAGCACTTGGCGGAGCTGACAGCTTTGAGCTGCAAGTGTCTGAACCCATGAGGTCGAGACTATTGCCTTGCGCGAGGTCGAGGCTGTGTCAAATCGTCTGCGATGACCTTAGGCTTCAAGAGCTCTGACCTGCAAAGGACAAGCCTGCAAGTTCTGAGATCCAAGTACGTTCGGAAGCAAAACCATGTTCCAAGCATTTGGCGAAGCACAAAGTTCTGCAGGATGTGCTACCCTCACCCGAGATGTGGGCTATATGCTCATGTTTGCATGGTGGCGCGGGTGGTCTGCCGGGGTGGGCAGCAATGTGAGCAGATAGATTATGATAGATTCATTTTTGTTGGCATGGACGTATTGGCTGTAAATGCCAGTGTTTGCGCGTTCTGGGTGCGGTTGGGCTTGGGCAGAAGCCAGGATTTCACTCGCAAGGGAAGAGGGGCAAAAACTGAGGATCGGGGGATTTTGGATGTGCAGCGATGACCAGCCAAGGCAGATGTGACGGCCTGCCGCGGGTCACCCAGACACTTCGAGGCTACAGTGAGACGGAACAGCCCCACTAGCGTCTGAATCTGACGAGCATGAATTAGTTTGCAGAGATTGGTAGCATCGAAGACACATAGTCAACTATGTCTACATTTAGATCTTCGAAAGTGTGGAATAGCTTTTTAAGAGGCCTGCACCGGCAGGTGAATTCTCGTGCACAGAACACATGATTGTGCAAACAGGCTCCCAACCTGGGGTAGGCATGTCGGGCGCAGTCTTTCACCATAAGGCCCTGAGTTTCCTGGGCAAGTCTGTCCTGAACCCAGTGATGGCACGTGTCCGGCACTTGGAATCTTGCGCAGTCAGGTGCACAACAGCTTCTGTGCTTGCACGTTGCTTCCGACTAGTTGTTGCAGGTGACGTGCCCCTTGCCGAGCAGCAGATGTCTCAGCACATCCCAGCATGGTTTTCTTCCAGTTGTGTCTGTGTGGTTTTTTTCGGGAACGGAGAGGCACTTGTCAGTTAAACCCCTGCCAGCACGCCTTGACCAGGATTTGCGTCTGTGGCCGGGTAGAAAGTCAGTCTGGCACTGACACGTGTTTGCTCAGCGCCTGGTGCAGCCAGGCGGGGGTCACGCTTGAAAGTCATATTCTGGCTTGGTTGAAGCAGGTCTGACGCTTGCACTGCGTGTGTGTAGGTGTCACCAGGACCCAAGATGATAAATGAGAGAGCTTTGAGTTGCTAAGTTGTATCACTCAGGGCCTGATGACACCTGCCGGTTATGCTCTTGGCCGCTTGCTGAGTTTCAAATGCTGCAATACGCCATAAGGTACAAAGTGTGCCGGCTGCATGTAACGCAGGAGCTAGCGCTGATGGATCCTTCAAAGTACAAGCACGATTGGAGCACATCGGCATTGTGAGCACTACGACGATCTCCAAAAGATTTAGAGGTGCAAACCAGCTCAGGAGCACATATGGACACCAACGAGGACCTGATCATAGCAGACTCTTTGAGGCCAGGTCACTTGAGAAGCGAAGAGTTGGGAAGGTTCCAGCTTGCGAAGTCTGTGAAATGTTGTCTCCCATCCATCAGCATCCCAACCTGTTTAGGGGTTGATTGATGTGAGCGTCATCTTCCATGCTGGAGGGGATTGAAGGGTGAGACCGACAACGCTTAGCCAGAATGAGGTTTGCAGATGGCGCTTGGGGTTTTTCAAATGGTACAGGGTTGCCAAGTGGACTCCAGTCACTGGTAGTCGCTCCCACCTTTCACAGGTCAGCTGTCGTGAGATGGACGGGCTACAGGCCCGCCTTCATGTATGGTGTGCTTTCACGGCTTTAGCAACAAGAAACAGGCATCAGCGGTACAAGCCAAGCTGGATGTGTGTAATGCGGTAACTTGCCTACAGCTAGCACCAGACTGGCAGGCACTGTAAGAGCTTGCCATTGCCAGGTATGAGGTGCTTGCAGGAGGCAATGGGGCCTGAGACCTAGGCTGACATCCAGATCAAACTGGTTGCGGCAGGTTCTTCCTTTGAAGCCTAGGTGGGTTCTGCGGCAAACCAGGCTGGATTCGTAGTAGAAAGCATTCAAAATCTGTACATACGCAACAACAGCACAAGCCTAGCCCAAATTTATTTACATGCGTTGTGAATGAATATTGCGCAAATTCAGTGAATTCATTGGACCGCCATATTTGGAGTCAGCATGGTACTTGATCCGAAGTTCCCGCACGTAATTCATACATGCCGTCTACCAGACTTTTTCAGCAGCTGGCAAATCGACTTGGCAGTTAAGCGGTCCGCTGGGGATCTACTTCGTGCACGAGCCTCAGCGCTTGACATGCAGATGTTTTCAACTGCTACAGAACATTACCCGGCTCATCTCACGTCTCAACTGCCCCTAGTTGGCAGATGCAGCAAGTTTGCTTTGGGCTTCCCTGCCTTCTTGAGATGGTGCATGGAAAAAGCTTAACTTACCTGGAAGCTGATGCTGAAGCACACATTCCTGAGCACGTACCTGCCCATGTTGAGGACAGCATTACCTGGTCAAAACTTAAACGGCACCTGTTTAACTCAAGGACTCAGGGCAGCAAAAGGATGGCCTCTGCTTGGCAGACTGCACGTCTTATATCCCTCAAGCCATACAAGCTTGCAGGCCAGGCAGCCCTGACACTCTCTATGTTGCAGATACCGCAGAAAGCTTAGATTTCTGAAGTAGCTTTAGGCGTTCATCTCTCAGGACTGCAGGTAGGCAGATCAGATTGCAGCGCGCACTTTTGGACAATGTGACAAAGGTTCGTCCATGCTAACAGCTACATGAGGCGAATCATCGCATCGTCGCGTGGCCTACAGGAAGTGCTGGAACCTCAGTCTGAAATCAAATGAAGAAGCGAGGTTGGAAAGAAGTGGGTTTTCGGAATCTTGAGAGATGGACATGGGGCGCTGCTTCATAACTTGAGACGCCAGAGGTTGACCAAGGAAGGCTCAGCTCAGCGGCGCCAGTAGCCTTGGTAGCCTCTGCGATTCCATGCTCGCAACATGGCGCAGGTGGCAGGATCTGTGGTCTTTGGAACAGGTGCGTCCGATACCCAGTGACAGTGCACATACTTCAAGTCTTGACTGAGGGGCAGCTTCCGGACTTTCTCGCATGCGGGCTCCAGATTTGCTAGACCTGCTGCTCGTAGGAAGCATGGACCAAGAGGGGTGCAATGCGCCGTGCTCTGCGCTCCTCCGCATCGCATCGCATTCTTTGCCTGGCGGGCGATGGCACCTGGCTTGGCATGTTAAAGCGTGATTTTTGTTGCACACAATATGCAGACTGACCGTGTCGCGCCTTGCTGAGCATCTGGGCTCCGACAGGTGTTGGTCCGGAACTCGTTGCAGCTGCAAAGACCGTGCTGGGAGCTACAGGCTGGCAAGCTTTGGTGCGGACTTCAAGTCTGGTTGAGTAGCTGTCCGCATCCCTTCAGGCATAAGCTTCAGCTTCGAAGACATGGACTTTGGCAATGCCTGTGAACGCCGCACTGGCTGCCCCATCACTGAGGATCATGCGCAAGCTGCTGAAGAGATGCTCCGATCGCAGGGAAGTTGAGAGCAGCTACTGATTTCGTTTTAGGATCGTGGGGTTTAGAGAGAGATCGGCCCGAAAATGCTTGAACCAATGAGAGAATGAGAGAGAGGGAGTCGGCTCAAGTCTCTGCCGCAGCTCTCCCCTTGGGGGGGGCGTTCTCGGCCAAGGCCTCTATCGGAGGTGGGGATCTTCCCTGAGAGGGGAGGCTTGAGGCCTCAGGTTGCCACCCTTTCAGATCAAGGCAGTTTGTAACCGGACCCCCGACCGGCAGTGTAAAACGGAGGTCGGAGTCGCAGGAGATTGAGTTCGTATCCATCGGAGTTGAGCTTGGTTTCGTCCTAGCAAAGGTTAAGCCCCTGCCGGGAGGAAACGTGAAAGCTGCCAAGGGAAGGGAGCAACTTGGCTCTGCACTTTGAGGGGGTTGCCTTTTTTGGGATTGCTTGCAACACCTTGACAGGGAGTCTAAGAGGATCGGGGAGGTCTGTGTCTTTTAGCATTCCTGGTTTTTTATTACTTGAGTAAATGGAGCCAGACAGAGTCAGAACGCCATGGCCGCGAGCAGCAGTGCTTTGGAAAAAGGAGCAGTGGATGAAGAGAACCTGCCCAAGTAGAGCCGTGGAAAAATAAAGGAAGGCAAACTGGAGATGACGAGGTTCGGAAGACAAGGAAGAAGAGGGGCGCAGGAAAGTTGGAGAAGCAGACACCTGCAGATGGTGGGAATCGAGATGAAGACATGGAGGGAGTGTGCCTGGCGTGCGCTTTAGGAGCAAAGACGTTGCACAACTACAAGAATACGTGAAACGAACACCATAGGGGACTGCCCCCGTCGCCATGGCCTCCTCCCTCATCGGGGTTGGCCCCCGTGGACCAGCACGTCCGCATCTGACGGTAACCCTCGGGAGGACCGGAGCATGCACAGTTTCCAGTCCACTTCAAGCCCGGCAGCCTGAGAATCAAGCGTAAACAACCTAGAGAGCCTCCCTACACAAGCGGTTAACATCATGCATGTAGGAGGCTGTGCAAGCCGCAGCTTGAGGTGATTCCAGCCGTTTGTTGCGTTGCGACACTAGTATCCAAACGAGGAATTCACAAAATTGTGCAATATGAAAACAGCAGTTCTTGTTACCAGATGCAGCAACATAT